CCTAATTTCCTTCATGCTGCTGGTCTTTGTGGTCTCACTGGATTGCCAATGAAGTCCAAAGGAAATTGCAAGTATCCCCTTGGGATCAAGGCTGGACTTTTGTGCTTGAGTATCTGGATCCTGAAAGAACATTCACTGCCTCCAATGAACATACAACTTTCAAAAGCCATCAGCGAGTCTTAAACATGCTGTCATGTCTTGTTTGTTGTTGTTGCCATGTTTTGTTGCATGTTCATTTAGAGCGATATGTTCAAAAGTGCTTGCTTCAGTTGTAATCACAATTAAATATTCATAATAGAACATTTAATTAGGAGACACTACAATTATTACTTATTCTTTGGGTTTTGACTTGGGCCAGTAAACAGCCACTCAGAACACCCAAGCAACCGCATAGCAATATGCTACAACATCACTCAGAAAACCTTAGCAACCACATAGACAACCCTGGCAACCACTCACAACTAGCATCAAAAGCTGCGTTTATGCAGTGCCGTAATGGATTACATGCACTGTTACTTCCTGGTTTTTAAATAAGCCAGCTCAGTCATTTTCAGTCAACTGTGTCAAAATACAAGGGGAGCGCCCTTTGCTCAGTTTCTCAACATAATCCATTCACAATTTGAAGAAAGTTTTTGCTTATCTAAGAGGACCAAAAGTTCACATATACTGTTTCAGGAATGACAAACACAAGTGTAAATAATTATGTGAGTAAATCTGCTAAATTGTTCCGCGAGTCATTGCTGTGATTGACAGTGAAAAAAAACGTCTGACCAGCCAGTGTTAAAATAGAGCTGTGCATTAAGTGATGCAGACTAAATTCAGAGTAGCTCTAACAAAGCTGCATCAGCAACAAGTCTGTGTTGGCTGAATATATTTAGCAGCTTCTACAGTTAAAGATAAAACTTTAAAAATGTAGTTTTTAAATATTTAAACATTTAATGCATTATTTAATTAATAATCAACTTATTTAAATTGTAGTTACCTGGTTAAATATTTAAATAAATAACCCTTCTAGGTTGTTGGTGTCTGGACTTGTTTATTTATTTATATTTTAAATGACATGAGACTTTGTGACTTCCTGCACTTGCTATACATCATACTTCATTACATAAAATTCCCAAAAATTCTTATAATAGTCATTTTATAATAAATCCGAAAGCAAGACGTAAAAACAAAACAAAACTAAACTAAAAAACAAAAACAAAAAAATCTAGGGAGTTGAAATGGCAACTGAGCTAATGAGTCATCCTCTGCTGCCATCTACTGGTTATAATGGTAATTTCATGTCATTTTCGTTTTAAAAGTCTTTGTTTTCCGACACATTTTTAGGAAAGAAAAATTAATCTTTAAAGTGAATTTCACTGCACAGTTAAAGAGTTGAGGAATAACAAAGCTTTAAAATATTATAAGTGTTTGAAAAATGTCCATGACTATAAAGTTATCGATTATCAAGTATAGGGCCTACCATTATGATGTCCTTTACTAGCCTAAACAGTTACGATAGTGTTTAGTTGTCAGCATTTAAAATTTGTCTAGGTACTCTCCTGGGTTCGGCATATAAAATTATGTGTTGTTAAACGTCGTTAAATAACATGAAACTGTATGTTAATGACGCTATCATAATTTACGGTGATTGCAACTATTTTGTTTCTCAGTTTCTGACAAGAACAAGGCAGGAGAGGTTTCTGTGAGGGTCTCTACCTATAAAACAACAGCAAATGACATTTCACCAGAGGTTTACGAGCTGGCTTATCCTTATGCGAGTTCCATTCTAAACACATCCTTGGATCTTTTCTTGGCTGGAGTCATTATTCCAAACTTTTCTTCATGATAAATAAATCCCTTCCCCTTTCTCAATATGCAGAGACAGGTCAGCAAGGCAGAGGAGAGATGTAAATGCCCTCCATATGAATGCTGTTTCTTTGTGATTACTTGTTCAATTATTTTTCTGCCATCATTTGATTTAATGAGGGCTGCATGAGAAGTTAAAAGTGACAAACAGGTTTTGGATGTAGACTACTTAGATCATGGCAGAGCGTGTGTGTGTTCGGATCAGAGCTCTTTCAAGGCCTCAATGCAAATGATCAGAGGGGGCACTTTGTATCCTGAGTCCTTGGGCCGAACAAACAAACCCCTTATGGATTGAATCTGGCATTCTCAATCCCTTTTTAATGATCTGCCATATTTTTCTCCCATCCTTGATGTGCGAATTCTAATCAATAACATATTTTCATTTATATGTATTAAACATGCCGTGTTTTACTTTGTTCATATAGTTGTTGTTTTTTACCTTTGAATATTTGCCTGTCAAACAAAGAGAAAGCAAGACACAATTTGAGCATTTTATTAAAAACAACAAACCACAATATAGAATACATTATATACAAATGCACATCTGACACACTTTTATAGTGCATTTCAAATTCAGCTGTAAACATATACATAGTGCAACTAATAAAATCACATTCTTCATACAGTATAAAATGGTACCATTTTAACCTTGGCTTAAAAATGTATTATTAAACCTTAAAGTGACATTTCAGATCATTTGTGTAATCGTGCATTTTAATTAATTTTGAAGTGGGAGGAGAAATGAAACCTTTAGCTGAACTTTAGCTTTGATAGAAGTTCACTTATTATTGAATTTTTGTTTTAATATGTTTTTTTCACAAAAATTATAGTCAGCCAGATATGACAAGCTCTACCCTATAGGGAAATGCTACAAAGAGCTACTTGGACAAACAAAACCTTGTCAACACATATACGTTTCATTATAGTGGCCGTGACTTATCGCTGCCCTCTGGTGGAAATTTAAAGCAACAGCCTTTTAAAGCTTCCTTACATATAGAAAAATGTGCCTAAAAAACAAGCATGCAATTTCTCCTTAATAAATATAATTCACGTAATGATATATTAACAAGATAATATATTCAACGTGCAAGTCCTTTTTAAAAGTCTTTTTGACACAGCAGAAGGTCACATGTCCCATCATGCTCGTGTGGATGTCTTGAACTGGAGGAAGGTCCAGAACTTTGTAGAGTGGAAGATTCGGCTCCTGGCTATCATTTGTGGTTTACTGATGACCCTGTGATCCTGTTTGGACGGCATCTGGTATTCAGATATCCACCCTTCTCCATTCATGTCCTCCGTGGACACAGATCTGCCCGATGAGATTTCCACCAGGCATATGGGATCCCTGTTTGTCTGAAGATGCTCCTCACATTCAATGCTCCACAGAGTAGATTCGCAAAACATCTAAGGAAAGAATAAAAATGTATTTGCACTGCTGTATGTGCAAGATATGTACTCTTTTAACCACTAGGTGGCAATGTGTTGCAAGCTAATAGTTCTAGGCGGCTGAGAAACCTAAACATTGATCTGTATTAAAAAATGTAAAAACAAAGTACAATCGTTCAGATCTATTAATTTAAGCAACTGGCAACCGAAAAATAAACGGAACAGCCGCACACGCTTCTTTATAAAAATTAGTACAATTAGTTTTAAAAATCCTTATTCAGTTATCGCTGACTACAATGATTGGGCCAACGTAACGTATCTACACAGCGCAGAGAATATAACAAGTCACACGTGACACCACTGTCAACTTTCTTATTACAAATATATTTAAATGAGACTGGCACATTTTAATAGACACTGAACTGAAAGCACACAGCGAATATTTAAGGTTATTGAGTTTTTAGACATCAATTATACAAAAAGCAGCTTCGCTAGTAAAAACAACTTATATTCAGACACCTGTTTCAGGGCCAAATATAATATATGTTGTTTTTTTTATATATATATAGAAATAGACTGTCGTTTGCGATTGATTTAGACTATCGCCAACTTACCTATGATGACAAAATGCCAAGTAGGCAGCTCTCTGGGTTATAAAAATAATCATTTTGCTTAATTCCACTGACCTACTTTAAGAACTTTGCATTTGGTAGTGGACGCCTTCGCTATTTGCATAAAAAGGAAAAGAACAGAAGCTTGAAAAAACAGCCACAGCTTACCTTGATTTCGTCTTCTTGATTTCGTCTCGTTTGTCTCAGTCAATGTTTATCTGCCGTTAGCACACGCAGCTTTTAAACGAGATTTTACTGCACATGTATGTAGTTCCCAACACAATTAACCGTAAAAAGGTGGAATAGAAAGTCCAAAGGTCTTCTGTAAACTCTTAAACGTGTCTTTTTAAGGTGCTTTCTCAAGGATATGCCCTAACTTACTCCAGTGCAGTGACTGACACACTCAATCACTAGCAGCGGCTTTTATTGCCGTTTTTACTCGAGGAGTTTCCACGGAAGTTTCCCTGAACTGCCAAATATTTCAGATTCTTCTTCTATTATCCTCCTCCTTTCCAAGATGAAAAAAAAAAAATAACTTAAACACCTGCAATAATATTTTTCTGACATAAAATGTTTAGATGTACTGTGTATATAAATAGAAACATAGGCTATAGGCTACAGTAACATTATATCGTGACAGATATTGGCTACAAAGACATTTCAGGTCAACAGTGTACAACCAAATCAAAATCTGATATTATTTATAGCAAAAGAAAAAAGATCAGTGACCAATCGATAGGTTATAAGTATAGCCTTACAACAAAATTGTTGCAGATAATATATAAATATATAGCCTAAATAAAAAAATTAAAAATCAGTGACGTTTGGAATGAGGAGGTTTAAGACACTTAAATTAACATGTCCAAACATAGTAGATAGCTAATAATGTGTTATGTTCCCTCATATCAAAATATAATAAAAAATTTGAAATGTATAAAGCCCATTCATATATATATATATATATATATATATTTGTGTACTCAGAATCTGTTACTCCAGTTACATGATAAATATCACAAAGACATTGGTACTAATATTAAATAAAACAGAATTGCCCTCAGTCTGAAGTGTTTTGTTGCAATCTTGTTTATAAGACTGGTTATGCACTGTACTTTCCATCACAAACAACATATTCTGCTCGTGGTGGATAAAATGAAAGAGAAAGTATTTTAAACACAATAACACTGTAAGACTAAGGTTAAGACAGGTCATGATTTTTCTCCAAAAAAAAAAACGAGCATCAAAAGATCAACTGAAACATTAAATTCATGCTCTGTCTATTTAACAGGTTTAACGGGTTAGAGTATCAAAGAGAACATGTATTGCACATGAAGTTGGCATATATTTGCAAACTTTGAACAATATATGCATCCCTGTTCCCCTTGAGTGGGCTGTGAGGTCTTTATGTTTGGATGTGTGTATGTGTGCATGCATTAATGTATGTAAAAGAGTATGGTTGAGTGGGAGTGTCTGCATATGTAGATGGTTCTGGATGAGACTACATAATCTACACACCACAATTTAAAGAGCATCTTCTGCTCAGTGTGGATAATATACAGAGTACAACTTTGGGATAACAACAGCTGGTTTGGAGAAATGGTATGTGCAAAACTTTGTGTGTGTGTGTGTGTGTGTGTGTGTGTGTGTAAATATATATAGATAGATTTTATTTTATATTATTTTTAGATTTTTTTTATTTTATTTTATTGAAAATTTTTCATTAAACATTTAAATGTAAATGTAAAATGTAAATGCTTTCTCTAGTATACATTGTATTTCAGCACTTTTCTGTTTTTCTCACAGTACGGCTTTATTAATACGTGTCTGAAGTCACTGGTCATTGAAAGGTTTGGAGAAGAGACATGGGAAAATTTGAGGTGTGTATAACACATGTAATGTTTAAAGAAATCATGGATGGTTTTGTGGTTTGTTTCAACTAAATAAAATCTTTCCCAGATTAATGGCTGGTGTCCAGGAGACATTTATGACCTATGAAATCTACGACGATGTCATCACTCTTCGTTTAGTGCAAGAGGCTTGTAAAATGCTGGGTGAGTATCATTTTGTACTTTGTAGTACAAATCACAGGATGCCAATGTACCCTGTATCTGCAAGACATTTTTAGATCTGAATGTGTTTATTTGCCCTTGGGTTTATGTCTGTTTGCATGTGTACTTCCTTTAATGGTTGGTTAGGGACTTTGTTTAATTCATCAGAATGTTTCACTTCTTTAAAAGGCCTGGTTTTGTTTGGATCCACATTTGAATGTCTGTCATTGTATGAAGCTTTGAGGAAAAAAGACAGAGAGAGTAGACTGTGAAAACCTCAAAGTTATCTCGTATTCACAATGTCCTTGGGGACTTGCAGACATTGATCAAAGTATCTGAGAGAGTGCTAACAATGTCCCTGCTGAGAATAGTCCGTTGGGCATCACGACGGTTGATGTCTTAACCTGTCCTCCAATCTGTCCCTGAGAGTGAGTGGACAAGGACAGGTGTGAATCTCACACACCTGAACTCCACTCAGCTGGTCTCAAAACAACCTGGGCGCAATTAAAATTGGAAAGAGAAATTGAATTGCAGTCTTACTGGAATAGTTCAGCCAAAAATTATGAATTTTGCCAATTTGCTGAAAAAGTACTCGCCGTCAGGTCATCCAAAATGTAGATGAGTTTGTTTCTTCATTCGAACAGATTTGGAGAAATGTAGCATGATATCACTTGCTCACCGATGGATCCTCTGCAGTAAATGGGTGCCGTCAGAGTCCAAACAGCTGATAAAAACATCACAATAATCCACCAGTAATCCACACTACACCAGTCCATCAGTTAACACCTTGTGAAGCAAAAAGTGTGATTTATAATAATCACAACTTTTCTCCTCCAGTTCAAAAGTTGCCTTGTCTGAATCAGGAGAGAAATATGCACAGATCAAATGCCGTTTACAAGTGAAAACAGTTCTAAACAAATGCATTGGTGGTTTTGGATGTGAAAGGACAGTGGGACTTTTTCACTGGAGGAAGCTTTATTATACACTATGGACTCATATTTTGGTCAGAAGCAATGGTTCTTAGTTAAAATGCCTTAATGATGGATTTATTTCTTACAAACACATTTCACTTTACAAATTGTTAATTGGTCTGCTTTATTTTTTGTGATGTTTTTCTCAACTGTTTGGACTCTCAATCTGACGGCACCCATTCACTGGCCTGAGTCAATGTTTTTTTTTGGGGGGGGGGGGCTGAGCTACTCCTTTAAAGTAATTTCTCTGCTTTGAAACTTAAATGTTGTTTTATTTGTCTTCTAGATGTCTCCTCCGAGGTGGTTTTGAAGCTTTTCGGAGAGTACTTTTTCAGCTTTTGTAAGATGTCCGGATATGACACTATGCTGCGAACACTCGGTGGAAACCTGGTAGAATTCATTGAAAATCTTGATGCTTTACACAGTTATTTGGCATTATCTTATGAGGTCAGAATACTTTTAATGCTCCTTAAAATTTCACATTGTCTCTTTGTAATCCTAAAGACATCCATCAAGCAAATGTTTACACAGAAAAACAATAAGAATGCAGTGCTGTGGAACACGAAATGTGGATTGAGTCTTACATGATAAAATCATCACATACAATGGTGTTATATTAAAAATTAATCCTAGACCAAGTGTAGTTAACACTTTTGATGTTATACTTGCTACTGATTTTACAATGACATTTAGCTTAGTGTCGGCTTAGTTTTTTGTTTGCAGAGTACATATGAAATATGGAACTATGAACTTTATTGTGGTTTGTAACATGACACGCCTTTTTTAGGCCATGAATGCTCCGTCCTTTCGTGTGGAGCGGATGGATGATGGCCGAATTCTCCTTCACTATTACTCAGATAGGAAAGGGTTACATCACATCGTGCCAGGTGAGAGTTTCAACGTAATCACAACATCATAACGTTTCAAAACATACATAAAATTTCCAAAATATTTTGCTGATATAAATGCAAAAGTATATACATAAATATACACTGTGTAATATACATTTGACATACATTTTTAATTTAAGGTCACATACATTATTTATGTTACATTATTAATTACTGTTTTGTTTTCATAACCATCGGGCAGGTATTATCGAGGCTGTGGCAAAGGATTTCTTTGACAGTGAAGTTATGATGACCATTCTAAACCAGTCAGAAGAGGATGAGCGCACTGGAAAGAAGGAACATGTGGTTTTCCACATGGTACAGAAGGAAAAGGTGACCAAAAGAAAGGCTCAACCAAGACAGAAAGGCAGCACTGAGGAAATACAGGCTGAGAAAGAGGTGTGTAAGTCCCCACTGACAGGAAGACACTGCAGAGCATAAGGGACTGTCATGCGTTTCTGTACATTTTACTTTGGCACCATCATTTTCAACACTTTAATTTTGTATGAGAGACATCATGAATGTTTAAGTAGGTCTAGACACTCAACTGTCTGCCGTCTTTGTATTTCTGAAATTATAACTAACGTGAGAAAGTTCGTAACTATGACAACTGCTATATCAACAGGACAAGGAAGAGACAATGAAGAGAATGATGGCCAGGTATGCCTGCCTGCAGCTGTGTCCAAGGAAACGATCTCCATGGGAGATTGTGAGGAGCATTGTTATGTTGGGCCAAGGTTTGACAGCTTTTTTCATAGCTGCTGTTTTTGCCTTTGACTGTGCCACTACATAGCACATGCTAATTATTTACAAGTAAATTATGTAGATGTGTTTAATTATTAAAAATAGATTTTATAAAAAATCGAAAAGTAATCTAAAAAGTAGTCAAAATACATTACCTAAAACGAGTAACCTAGATAATGTTACTAACTACATTTTTCACCGTGCAGTCTGTAATCATAACAGACTACAATTTGTAAGTAATCTACCTAGCCATATATATATGTGTGTGTGTGTGTGTGTGTGTGTATATGTGTGTGTGTGTGTGTGTGTGTGTATACAGGTTCAAAGAATCCCAGATTTTCAGTGTGCTTTTTACAACCCCATTGTAACATAAAATGTACCTATTTTGACATATTATTCAAATATTTCCTGAGTTAATAGGTTTTATATTGGTGTCTTTCTTAATTAAGGCAATCTGCGACAATCGTTCACTCCCAGCTACCCAAAAAGACTTTGGATTGAAGAACAAGCCTTCTGTAATGCTTTTCCCTTTCACATTGTTTTTGATCAAGATGTAAGTATAACTCTGTATTTCTTTTCATTAACAGATGTCAAATATGAAAGTACATCAAAACACAGCCATTTTGAACATTTTGAACAATTTCTTGTCTTTTTAGCTGGTGGTGAAGCAAACAGGTGTCAACATTCAGAAGTTTGTTCCCGGACTGCAGACCGCAGGTATCCGTCTGGATGAGTACTTTACCATCGTTCACCCAGAGGTCATCTTCAACATCCAGAGCATCAAGAAGTTCATCAACAGCCAATTTGTGCTGAAAACCAGGAGGGAAATGTTACCGGAGATCCACCAAAACCAGTCCACACTCAAACTGAGAGGTATTTTATCCATAGAGATTTATTACACTTGATATTTATGCCATTTTGTAATTATCTGCATGGGCACATTCTGGTTTAATCAAGTTCTTTTGTGTTGATTCCAAAATGTTTTTTAATTTCTTGTGTAAAATAAGTCTTCATTTAATTTCAGCAACTCTTTCGCATAATTTTGTATATCTCATATCATTTGATAATTAATTTGCAATTGTGTATGTGTGTTTTAGGACAGATGATGTGGATGGAGTCACTCAACTGCATGATCTATCTGTGCTCTCCTAAGCTACGAAGCCTCCAGGAACTGGAGGAGAGGGGTCTCCATCTGGCCGACATCGCCCAGCACGACACCACACGAGATCTGATCCTGCTCAACCAGCAGAGGTTGGCGGAGATCGAGCTCTCCAATCAGCTAGAAAGGAAGAAGGAGGAGTTGAGAATCCTCTCACGCAACTTAGAGATTGAAAAGCAGAAATCAGAAAAGCTTCTTTATGCCATGCTGCCGACACACGTTGCCAACCTGCTTAAAGAGGGCAAAAGGGTAGAGGCAGGTGATGAAACCAGAGGAACTACCAACAGAACATTATTATACTTGTCATTATTCATGCTTTACATGGATCACACTCTTTCTGTTACTCTTTCAGGTGAGTTCAAAGTGTGCACCATCCTTTTTAGTGATGTGGTCACATTCACTAACATCTGCGCAGCCTGTGAACCTATTCAAATAGTCAACATGCTCAACGCCATGTACTCCAGATTTGATCGACTTACAAACATCCACAATGTCTATAAGGTGTGTAGGATGGCGCTATCTATCTATCTATCTATCTATCTATCTATCTATCTATTAAATAAATAAAAATATAAAAAATAAAAAACGATATATATTTGCTTTAAATATGTATCATTTATTATATGAATGTAATATATAAGTATATACAGAGCTGGGTAGTAAATGATTACATGTAATCTGGATTACATAATCAGATTCCAAAAATCATATTAGAGTATATTACATTTTATAATGCTCATACTCAGATTAGTTACTTTTTATGGATTACATGATTACATATTATTCACACAATGGCAGTAAATCATTCATAATTTATTGATTGACCCCTGATTCTTTTTCTTTTTTAAATTTTACTCTCTAAAAATCCTACTGTGTCATACCATTTAGCTTGCATTATATTCACAATATAAAATGGTCACGTAAATGTAATGTAAATAAATTTGGAAACCATGCTTCTAAATTTGGGTGAAAAGAGCTCTTTTGACATGAGATATTTACTTGAAATATCCCTGAGAAAGTTAATATTTCAATAATTGAACAAAACATTTGCTTGTTTACGGTTCAGTGTCTCTAAATGGTCACATTGAATGCAGGTAAACAAATTAAATATTTCTATTTTTAGTGTTTAAATTTTTTAATAATATATTTTACATTTTTATGATTTAATAATTATTAGCTTTTTATCAACTCACAAGCCCACTGTAGTTCTTGAATTAAACCCAGTTTGGGAAATCCTAGTTTAATGAATTTAATAATGTTGATATCAAAAAATGGAATATATTTTCTTTGTCTTTGATTTTTTATTTTATATCAGTATGGTATGTGTAATTGTAAGTTTAAAACAAGTTAGATAGAAAATAGTCTAAAAGTAATCTTAGAAAGTTGTCAGAATACATTACCTAAAATGACTAATACTAACTACAGTTTTCATTATGTAATTTTTAAGTCATCTACACAGCTCTGTATATGTATATATATATATATATGTGTGTGTGTGTGTGTGTGTGTGTGTGTGTGTTTGTGTGTGTGTGTGTGTGTGTGTGTAAAATGAAATGGGAAATTATGAGGAAAACCTTCACAATTATTCACTTGCAAGTAATTAAAGTGGAAAATGATATTGTCTCACAACAGGTGGAAACTATAGGTGATGCTTACATGGTGGTTGGCGGTGTGCCCGTTCCTACAGACACTCATGCAGAGCGGGTGGCAAACTTTGCCCTCGGTATGAGAATTGCTGCGAGAGAAGTAACCAGCCCTATCACAGGACAGCCCATACAGGTGTGTTTATACAGTTCACTCTATGTAAATATAAGCTCTGTGTGCTCTTTTATCATATGATTTGCCAAATGAATTGGTTTATTGTCAATCTAGATCAGAGTAGGCCTGCACACCGGTTCAGTTTTGGCAGGTGTTGTAGGTGACAAAATGCCACGCTATTGCTTGTTTGGAGACACGGTCAATACAGCCTCTCGGATGGAGAGCCATGGAGTTCCTGATCACATACACCTGAGCCCCTTCACATACAGGTTTGTGTTCTTTTGAACTTTTTATTCATTAAAGTATGTTCACCAAGGCTGCATTTATTTGATCAAAAATACAGAAAAATAAAGTAGCTAGTATTGTGCAATATTGTGTCATCTATTTTGATATTCCTGTGATGGAAAAGCTGAATTTTGAGCAACCATTACTCCAGTCTTCAGTGTCACATGATCCTTCAGAAATCATTCTAATGTGTTGATTTGGTGCTCAAGAAACATTACATTAGTATCAATGTTGAAATCAGTTGTGTTGCTTAATATTTAGTCACTGTATTTACATATATGATTTTGTTGAAACTATCATTTGCACAGAAGTAAGTCCTGAAGACACAGACGGTGGGCAGAAAGAGGAAGAGAAAAAGGAGGAAGAAGTTGAAAACCCGAAAAATCACATATCATCACCATCTCTCTGTCCAGGCAAAATCTCCCCCGATCATTTAATTCAATTCGATGTAACGCCAGCATACGAAAGCCCCACTGACTTCAAACATTTACACAATGGTCTTCATTCAGACAGCATTAGTACTAAGTTCTGCTCGATACTTTAGTCCAACATCACTGAATTAAACCCAATTTTAAGAAGATAGAATTTCAGAGGGCCAGTAACACAAATCAACAGCTGTAATCTAAAACTCGCAGCACCATGTGCCATGTGCTGTGTATAATGTCTGTTTTTCCCAGCTCTACAAGAAACAGTGGGGGATTTCTACTTTGTGGACACAGATTTGTCATATGGGAAAGGCAAGTCTCTACGCTGATTCCCAGTGCTCCTCGTGCAGCCTGGCTTCATTTGCACCTGCTGGTTGCCCGCTGGTGATGGCCAGCAGTAGAACCACCCCTGGAGAAAGCTAATCTCCCTCTGGAGAAATTAATCACTTATTATAGACTGTTTTCATGTGGAAATCAGATGGCAAACACAGATGACCAGAGGTAGATAAACATATGGTTGCTGTATAGCGATCAAATTTTCGTTTGAGGTCATCTGCAGTCTGTTAGGCAACATGGGAACTAATTATTCACTGTGCCCAAAAACACACAATCTGCTTTCCTCTCAAATAAAAATATGACTGCATGAAAATGTTTCATTTGTATTATTAATTCTCCTGACAACACGATTACAGAGAATATATAATTGAAAAAAAAAAAAAGTTGAACTCATACTTATGAAACCTACTAGAGATAAAAGTAGTAATAACCTCACCATAGCTTTTTAATCTCCTCCACCCCCCACAACTTTCTGGGGTAAAAGCTAGTTACATATAAAAATAAATATGTAACTCTGTTTTGCATGATAAATTAGTAAACAACACTGAATGCCCAGTGAGTAAAAAAAAAAGTCAAGTCATCATGGACTGCATGAAAGTATTTCATTTGTATTATTAATTCTCTTTTTGCCTCAGTGTTCGATAAAACATGATTACAGAGATTAATACATAAAAAACACCCTCATATTTATGAAACCCAGTTAGATTTTTGGAGATTAAAGAAATAATTATCTTGCTACAGCATTTTAATCATTTTTTCCAAACATTACAATAATTAAAGGATCAAATTCCTCTATACGAAGAATTAAGGCAAAAACAATTTGGGGGGGAAAATTCTAGTGACATACAAAAATAAATAAATGTATTCTGCAGCATAAACTAATGAACAACATTGAATGCCGAGTGAATAAAAAAAACAAACTGTCAAAGTTAATGTCAGCATGTATGCACAACCCCTTGGCACAGCAACAAAAACCTTTTCATCAAGGTTCCCATTTAACAAAGGCAACTGCACAGCACGTTAGAAATCCAGTACAAACATCTTCAACTCTTCACTGAAGGGATACAGCAATAATTATTTATGACAAAAAAAAAAGAAAAGAAAAACATCTTAGCATCAAGGCAAACGAATATCTTAAAATACCTGGAAGAGTATAAACATTCAAATCAGACTACTGTTTTCTTCATAATCTGTTTTTATAAAGTGCCACCGAATTCTTCTTCATCAGGAAATACAACAATACTTTGTAAAATCCATCTACTGTATATAACGGCACAATCTATGACTGCATAGCAGTACGAGTTTTCCTTTTATTCCCCATCTCAAAAGCCGTCTCGTGTGGTTCAGAGGGAAAGGTCAGATTCCGGAGTGTCAGTTTCCGACAGGAACTTTGTGCTCGTTCCAACTTCTTCTGGGATACTTGGAGTGGAGTCACCATTAATGTTGGCTCTGTGGAACATCAAGCCTGTGAAAAACACAAGAGGCGCAAGGATTACTTTTTTATGCTGGACTCATTATTAGGGCCACAAGAATTTCAAAAAGAAAGAATTTCAGAAAGATTCAGTGACTGCTCAAGCAACAAAGTTTGGTGCAAACTAAGCGTTTAGGTTACTCAGAAATCGAATTTGATCTGTGTGTGGGCACAGTGTCAGATACAAGTGTGTGTGTGTGTGTGTGTGTGTGTGTGTGTGTGTCTGCGTGACTCACGCTCCGTCTCCTCGGCCCCTCTGTCGCTGTGAGCTTCTGTATCCGAGCATGTCCGTGTCCGTCTCTGGGAGGACTTCTGCAACGCCATGCTCTCTTTTGGCAAGCTTGACCTTGAAGGAAAACAGCACCTGTATTTATAGGCACTCAGAAAATAACGGCATAAGCTGTATGGACCAAAAACAAGAAGTATGTGTGTTGTGTAAACCTTTTGTACCTTTCATAATTGTAGGTGCCAGGATAATAAAATATATATAAAAATATTACAATTCTTTTTGTTGAACTACAGCCAAAATAAAATAGATGAAAAAAATATTAGAAACATTGCCTTGGCAATTCATTGAAACAAAGTAATTTTGAGGTAAAGTACCAAAATTAATTACTATTACTTTTTTATTACTTAATTACACATTTTATTTAATTAAGTTACTAAAACTAAAATGAAAATGGAAAAAAATACAAATAAAAGCTCATTCAAAATATTGATAAATACTATAATAGTATTTTATATAAATAATACTAAAATAACATATCATACATTTTACTAGTAAGTGAGTGAGCAAAGAATATGTCCAAGTTTCTCAACAAAATCATAAAATAAACAACAATACATTATACATAAAGAAAAAGAGGCTTTAGGTTTTTGGGGATATTTTCCTCCAATTCTCATTACTGTGATGTAAAAAATATTCTCATTACAATAATGTGAACAAAAACAAAATAATAATAATTATTTGAGATAATCAGAATTTGGGGTGAAAATGTACGTAATTATCTGATTCATTCATTTAATTGTCATGAAAATAATGCACAATGTAAAGAGTCAAAAACAAGCTCCATATCCTTTATGTTAAATATAAGTTTTGAATTTTTTCCATTGATTTTGGGGTCAAACATGACTTGGGCATGTCTTTGTAAAATTCACCCAAATAACTTGCCATAAAAAAATGCCATACAAACTAATAGAAATAGGAACTACGAATAAAAATAGAAAATTGTATGTGATTTATGCTTGTGTCTTTACCCGAGACATTTGGACGGGAGAGGGGGACACGGGGGACATTATGGAATCAGACGGACTGGATTGCAACATATCAGTCTTAAACTTGGAATTAGCAATTTTCATACATTCTTCCAGTGTTTTGATGAAGGTTTCACAGGTGGCACTCAGTAACGAGGACGCCTCATTCCTCATCTGGGGAAGAAAACAGCAGAAAATACAACGATTTGGTTTAAAAGAGTTGATTACTATGATGATAACCTTTTTATATCACACCCACCCAACTGCAATAATTGCAATGATTACTGTGGTTTGAAAGAAAAAGAGCTAACCTCAGTGCTGGCCACCGTCGACTCTCCTTCCTGTTCCACTGACTCCTGAATAGTATGCACTTGCTGCATTAGTAAGTCACAGTACAGGCGCAGCTCTGACATCTTGGTTTTCAGGGATTCTGTGGTTTCTGTTAACTCTGCAAAAACCCATTAAGAGAGGAAATGCAACTGTTAATGGGCCTTGATACTGCTTAGCAGTCAAGATTACTGATGCGCAACTAGGAAACATGAATTCAGTATATGAAAGCCTTTTGTCTCTGACGTGAATTTCCCACTGAACTTCAATACAGTGTATGTGTGTGTGTGTATATACTGTATATATATATATATATATATATATATACAGTATATGTATATACATATTTTATTACATCTGGGTACTTACATATTATTGTCTTTATCAGCATATCATTCTATTCTAAAAATATAATGATAATACAATATCAAATATGATTTATTTAAAGGGATAGTTCACCCAAAAATGAAAATTCTGTCATTAATTACTCACCCTCATGTCGTTCCAAACCTGTAAGACCTCCGTTCATCTTCGGAACACAAATTAAGATATTTGATGAAATCCAAGAGCTTTCTGACCCTGCATAGACAGCAACACAGCTACCACGTTCAAGGCCAAGAAAGGTAGTAAGGAGATCGTTAAAATAGTCCATGTGACTTCAGTGGTTCAACCATAGTTTTATGAAGCTACGAGAATATCTTTTGTGCACAAAGAAAACAAAAATAACGAGTTCTACATCAGAACGCCGGCTCCTGCATTGTGGTATTCTTGTGAAAGCGTGTCGAAGACTGACACGGAAGAGAAGAAATTATTGAATAAAGTCATTATTTTTGTTTTCTTTGAGCACAAAAACTATTCTCGTAGCTTCATAAAACTATGGTTGAACCACTGAAGATCTTACAGGTTTGAAACGACATGAGGATGAGTAATTAATTATATAATTTTCATTTTTGGGTGAACTAACCCTTTAAATCTATATTTTTACATTTGATTAAATTATTGTTTTTTACTTGTGTGTGTACATACATACATGTTAAGAAAATTTTAAGATAAATAATGCTTAAGATATTAATGTGTATATAAATATTATTTTTCTTTTTTAATTGTAATAATAAATAAAAATGTGTATTATTTTGTTAACAATATTAATAATATTACTACTAATAATTTTTGTTATTATTATTAGTCTATTAGTTTATGAACATCTGTGGAGAATCAATAACATGTATGAAAATATTGGTATTTTAAAGTGTAACCAAACATTTTACTGTGTTTTTAGTCTTGTGCTATGACAAGGCAAAAGAGAACAATAAAAAACAAGAATATGACCAGAGAGCAAACTGTTAAGAGAAGCCCACCCCTCTCTTTTTTGGTTCTAGTGTCAATGAGTCCAGCTTTGGAGCTTCCCAGAGCCACCAGCCACTTCTGCCTCTCCGCTGCATTCACTGCCTTCACGTAAAAATGCTGCTCTCCTGGTATGATCAGCTCCAGACGCGTGTTGTCAGTTGGGTGAACTGGAGCAAACACAAGGAAGTCAAAAATGACATAAGAATAACCAGTTTAATTTGTCATAAGAAGATTTTGCAGATAAGATATACAATCTCAGATCTCACCTTTAATTTCACATACTGACATCTTAATACTGCCTTTGCTACCTTTGCACACGTCATCTTGTGAATCATAGTATGAAATAATGCCATTGTCCAGCACAAACCACCTTGGCTGCCATCCTGTCATGAAATAAAGTATTATCAGATCACAAAACGCATCCAAAATGCAACTTTCTTAACTTGAAGTATCGTAACATCACATGACACGACGGGAAGTTTGACACATGAGCTATATTATTACTATATTTCGAAAGCATAGGGTGTTTTAGAAAAGAAGCAATGCAAAAAGCAATACAGCACAAAAGAACAAAGTTGCATGCATCCGCAGCAGTCTCTCTCTCTATAATATAAGTTAACGTTACAGACATCATGAGACAAATCTTGCAGGGCTGTCTGACTGAAGCTCAAGTGTCTATATGTCAGTGCCATTCACTCTTACCTGTCATATAGTTTGTCCATTTGTAAAGCACGCCTTCCATTATTCTCCAAGCAGAAAACCCAGGAAAAACACTTGAACGCAGCTTTAACAGAGCTTGCACCATGCAGCTGCTTGTTTGCCCCCTTTTACAGGCTAATAAGCATGCTAGCATGCTCCAGGCTAA